TCAAAATGGCCAACTTTGACGGCATGCCACGGACATGCCCTTCAACGTACAGTCACAAATAGCACAGCGTTTAATCAACAAAATTTTTTGATTGTACTGTCCAATTTTGAAGTAGATCCAACAAATCCCCTATGAGGAGTTCGTTCAAATACAACGCAAAAAAAGACCACGCAGTTCAAAATGGCCTCTTTTTTTGCCTAAAGTGAAAATGACAAACAAAATGGCCGCAGAGAGTGAAAATGAAAATCAAAATGGCCGACTTCCTGTGGGGTTTGGGGTATGGGTCCAAGAGGCTTTTCTGTACGTCTCGGCACGTTACACGTTACAAACACAACAAACATGATTTTTGGTATGTGAGCTACAGGCACCAGTCTACACGTGCCCTGTGAATTTCATATTCATAACTATTACGGTCTCTGCACAGTGATTTACCATGCCACCAGAGCGCCACCTAGTGGCGGATTGTTGACACATTTTTTAGCGAGCCTCAGGGAGCCATGGGCAAGCATCGTACCAAGTTTCATTTTAATCACACGTGCCGATGCGGAGATATAAACTTGTTCATTTTAAAGAGCGCCACCTTGTGGCGATGGCCTGAAATTGTGCACGATGCCTAAGGAAGACATGGGTATATGTTCAGGGGGGCAAAAATGCAGTCGAAGGGGCTAAAAATAGGTAAGAATAAGAATTCTAGCAAATACAATAGGGACCTCCAGCGGTCGCTGGCTCGGTCCCTAAATACAAAATACGTTCCCTATAATCATCTTTAGACCGTACCGTCTCATAAGATAAGACAATATAAGATAAACCTTTATTAATCCCCTGTCGGAGAAATTCAAGTGACACATCATGAGGCCCCAGGTTTTACCCATGGACATAAACTTGACCGTAAACCTTAACCAAAGTTACTGGCAGCCAAGCAACAACCTACTGACAGCAACTTAAGCAGGTGTATCGATCACTCAATGTGTAGGTAGCTCACATAAGTAACACAGTCACCTGAAATATCAGACTACTTATTCCTGCGGCTCCTAAAGGGAACCGATATCCACATACGAGTGCTCACATACCATGATGCTCTCTGCCATGCTCTCTGTCAGGATGTCCTCAGCCTGTAAGGACTGAATGAGCAGTGCATCCACCACCAGCTGTTTGCAGAGAGTAGCAGAGTGTCTCCGAAGGGCCCGGCTGTCTCTCTCCAGCATGCCACACTCCAACATCTTGCATCAACAACCTGTGTGTAGGACAGGTGAGACACATGAACCTCCATACCAATAAAACACACAGTATAACCAAGTGACAGGCAAGACTACAAGACATAAAGACATACTGTGAGTGTGGTCTGTTCAATGTCTTGCTCCAGACAGCGATGAGATTGTTGAACATTAATGCTGGACTCTCTCATTCTTACCTGTCACTAAATAGCTAATATGCAACAGGTAGTATCATCTCAAAATACTCATCAACTATGTAATTAAGTACTTTTAATAATAAAACCACCACCAACGCTAGGTGGACAGTGCAGGTACACAAAGGAACAGCTAACTAATGAGTTTGCGAAGGCAGCAGTTAAATGTGTAGCTTTATGTTGTGATATTTAATAAAACGTCCCGATTCCAGAGACTGTAGTTTACAGTATATTTACAGTTCAACGTTGATGGCTAATTACCAATGCTAACTAGCCAGCTAGCTCACTCCGGACTGCCCCTCTTCTGCCCTGCATCAAAGCGAGCGATATATAGTTGAGTAAATAACTACTTTCTTACCGTTCCTCTGTTTCTGCAACACAATGTCAAACCGTCCGGTAACACTACAGGAGAAACGTCGACGCGTTGCTCACTATTTCACACAAATTAACAACATCCCGTCCTCACTCTGCAAACCAACTTCCGCGGGGTATCCAGTGCTGCAGTGCGAGGGGGCGGGGCCACAAAGTCATTGTTTTGGATTCCGACCAATGAGAGCGGAGTAAACAAATGACTGACGTTTCAAACATCCAATCGCCTGGCTCCTTACACACACGGGCGCCTCCCATGTGAAACTGCTGTAAAGACAGTGTATTCAAGGGCATTTTGAATTTTGAATCCGTTTTCTGTAAATAAGTAGCCAATTGATAAGGAGCGCTTTGGAGATAGGCACAAACAGTTCACTAATAGAGAGTCATTTAACACACAGAGGATGGACTGTTATTGGCTGAACATACAAAAATATGTAACGGGATTTAACTTAAACTGATTTCCAATTATTATAACAGATCTAATTATAGCTCAAAATCAGACAAACAATATTTATTTAAGATATGTAATTAACAGCGGTGGTATGGACCATGGTATTTTAATAAAAATGTGTTGTACTGTTCTTAGTTTATGCTATTTCATACTTCCAATTCAAATAAATATTTACTACTACTTTTAATTCCACTTTTTTCAAAGTTCAAATGAGCTGCACCTCAGCTATTAAAATGCTGCATACACTTAAGGGTAATCAGTAATAATTAATATTTAATAAATATAATAACCTGACAAGGACCTTTCTGCTATTTGTTAAAAAAGCTTTACATTTTCTATAATAAACAAATAAAAGTGTTAAATATCTGTGTGAAATATAGGAAACAGAAACAAAAAGTACATTTTAGCAGGGTAGAGGAGATACATCAGGGAAAAAATTTAAAAAGGGGAATTTAGAACAAAACACGTAGATGGAAAGAGATGTCAAAACAATTAAATGCCAGCTTTATTTGTGACATTTTGTTCTGTTATAATAGCTTATAAGGAAGCAATGGTTGCATCTGTTGAGAAATACCACTTCCTAATTCTGGGTTACATTCATTGCCTTAAATATAATATTCAGCATGACCAATAATCTACAGTATTGTACAGTCATTGTACGTGTTTGCTTCTGCAGCCATTTAAAACCCAACAACATCCTCTTAATCAGCTCTTCACACTGACTGGAGGTGAGTACACATTTAATGATTATATACAATTTTTAACCAAACAAAAGTAATAAACAGTAAATAAAGTAATGGTACAATAATGTAGCTGTGATAATGATCTAATAATGTCATAAAATAAAATAAAATAACATTTATGGGAAACTTTCTTCTGCACACGTTCTTTTACTTTTATACTAATATAACTTGTAATGTGAGTAAATGAGAATTTTTACATTAGTTTTCTTAAGTAAAGCATCTGAGGGCTTCTTGTGTGAGCATTTTTTTTTTAGTCCAAAATTTCACTTTGATCAGTTTGATATGACTGTGCAAACCTCTTTCACCACAATATTCAATAAAGGTACAGTTCATAGAAATGTAACTTGTATTGTGTGGGACACCATTTAAATGTGCACACCTCCTCTCTCTGTTTGTCTCTTTCTTTCAAATATCTCTTTCTTACTCCACTCTCTCTCTCTCTCTCCCTATCCTGATGCCTACTTCACCTCCCCTGCTGTCTCTCTCCTCACCCTCACTGTGTGTGTGCTGTCAATAATTGATGATCCTCACTGACTCAAAGGGTAACAGGTCCCGGAGAAAATGTCTCACCCATTTCTTTATTTATATACAAGTCTGTGTTTAAGTTCAGCCAGTCTGAGAAACCACCACCAGCGTTTATTCGAGCACGAGAATCGATGGGTGTGAAGCCTGACCGTGTCCGTTTTGTAGTTTGTTGCATCCGCTGCACCTGTGACCATGAGCGGGTTAATGCTGCCTGTCTGGGCTGACAGCAGGACAGAGGGAGGAAAGGGAAGCTTAAATGAGTGAGAGGCAGGGGGCAGAGAGGAGGAGGAGTGACAGAATGATAGAGTGAATTAATTCAACCTTAGCCAGACCTGATTGAGTCAGTAGCAAACTGGCATGTACAAACATTCACAGTGACACCAAAGCCATGGAGGAAGAAAAGAGGAATGACATGTCCTTCTCCAGAAAGAGAAGTTTCACTTTTGGGGCATATGGAAGGTGAGTAAGGACACTGTTTGTCTTATATTAGAAGTGACATTTTCCACCACAAGTCAACTGACTTGTTACTACATATACTGAATAAATATATATTTTTTAGATATAACCAATCGTGTCTATGTAAGATGATTCATTTTCTTCTCTGAGTAGCTCTCACTTCCTTGTTTACAGTGTGGACAGATTCACATGTGGGGATGAGACGAGGTGAGGTTTTATTTTCCATTTTATTGCAGCTCTTTTCAAGCTTTTTTTTTGTATAAAGTAACAACTGAATGAGAAGTGATGACCTGTGCTGTCTTCTTGTGTGAATGAACCTGTTGCTGCAGACCTGAATCTGCAGAGGACAAAATACTGGACATCCTGGACTCTCCTGCCAGTGAGAGCAAGCCTTTCCTCTCTGCCAGCAGCAACCAGAGGGTGATATCATTATCATGTTCAGCGTGCACCCTCCCCACTCATTTTAATTAAACATACGTAATGTATTTCCATGTCCTGCGTTTCTGAGAAGTTCCCATTTGCAACTGAAGCGTTTGTCATGTTCTTCTTCCTCCCTGTGTGCCTCTCCTTCCCCTTCTCTCCGTCTGCATTTCTGCCTGACAACTACTGCCCGTTGTTCCGAACAGGAAACAGAGCTGTTTGAAATCATTGAAAAACTGCAGGTGAGTTACGCTACAATTGATATTGTGTAGTGTGTGTGTTTGTTGGTGTCTGAGCAGCACAGGTTTCTTATCATCAATACTCTGCTTGTCCATCAGGGCAGCAGGATCGATGAGCAGCGGTGTGAATTCCCTCTTCCTCTGAAGGTTAGTTTTCAATCTGAGAATCTATATACGGGTTTGATCCCGCACATATGTGTATTGTCACTGACCTTTCTATGAACATCATGACATTTGTTTTCCCAAACAACAGAAACAACAGGCCCTCATCATCATCAGGTGCTCCTTTGTGTCTATTTTAGACTCAGCTTCTGACGATAGGTGGAGACCTGCCGCTCATCCTACCTTCAAAGTTGGGGGGCTACTGGATAGACCCCCCTCTGGAGAGGCTCGTAGATGTGAGTCCCACCTCTTCCCACTATGGCCTCGATCCAGAGAGCTTCGACATCATGGAGCGAGACAGAGAGGCCAAAATCTACCACGAGTTCTTCCGCTCACGAGTAAGTAGACTTAATCTAAAATCTCAAGGAATGTATTCTCTTCCCTCAGTCTGGTATTTATGTTTTATCTTCTTTTTCCTCCTGTAGTACCATCACTCATTCACAGCAGTGGATCCATCTTTGGGGCCTCTGGTTCTTTCTGTGTGTTTGGAGGAAGAGGAGAACAGGCTGCGAGTGATACTAAGGTTGAGACCTTTAACCATTTTAGTAAATTATGAGACATTTTTTTGTATGTTCCTATTTCACAGAAAGTCACCCTCCACTCAAAAATGTATGTTGCCTATTGTTACTTCTCTTGGATGTTTGAGCTGTTTTCACATTCATCTGCTGAAGGGGGGAAAGTTTCTCTGCTTACCTCAAATTTCAGTTTAAGATGTTAGCACCGACGTATCTATGTAGAAACTGTTAATTCCAACAATACTGCATCACTGACAATAATGCAAAGATTGTTTTTTCTTGTCTTACAGGATGAAGGAGTGCTCTCTGCATGGAGTTTTCTCTGTGTCTCTTTTCCCCAACATCCCATCCGCTGTTGAGTTAGCAAAGGTATCACACTACTGATTCTGGTGGAAGACAAATAATGACAGACGTGTTATCAGCTAAATATACTTTAAGTATCACAAGCAAATATTTTCATCATGTCTTTCAGAATGTTTTTATTTCATGTTATGTACATGAATTAACATGTATGAAGCATTTTTACTGTTATAGCTGATTGAGCTAATTTAACTTACTTTATCTCCACTAGTTTGGGTACTTTAATTTATAACAATTAATCATAAAATGTGTTTTATATGTAAATTTTTTTATGAAAATACAATCAGCAAAGTAACTATAGCTGTCAAATAGTTGTAAATCCCTATGAAACATAGTGAAATACATGTATAAAGTGGGATAAAACAGGAATACTCTATAATACTAAAACCACTCTTTCCAGATGCTCTGTGACAGAGTGACTGTCTCAAAGTTTGAAGTGGTCAGCTACCTCAAGGTAATGCTCCAGAATTACAAATAACTAAAAGAAATGATGACTTATTTTAGCCAAATCCTCTCAAATCTCCTTCTCACTCATCCATCAGGCCCCAGAACTCATAACTGCATTTGATGAGCACAGAGTGTCGCCTAATTTCAAGTTTGGTATTTTGTACCAAAAGGACAGGCAGGTAAGAAATTGTGCAATAAATGACTGAAATATGGCGCTATATCATAACCAACTTCCTCTCAGACAACATCTGTCTCTCTCTCTAGTTCACAGAGGAGGACATACTCAGTAACAATGACGAAAGTGAGGAGTTTAAAGAGTTCCTTTCTATTTTGGGAGAGACGATTCAACTGCAAGGCTTTACCGGGTATAGTGCACGGTGTTGTTTAGCTGGCAAAATGACACATGCAATGAGTAAAATCATATGATTTTGTCTCCTCACCCCCCTTCATTAGATTCAAAGGAGGACTGGATGTGTGTCATGGTCAGACGGGGAGTGAAGCAGTCTTCACTTCCTTTCATGAGAGAGAAATCATGTTCCATGTTGCAACTAAACTGCCTTTCACAGAGGGTGACCCACAGCAGGTCAGTTACTGTACCACCCTTCTGTTTTTTCTCGGTTGATGATTCACAGGAATTCTTAAACAGACACTGACACACAGTTTTTCTCTTTTTCCTCATCTCCCCAACATAGTTACAAAGAAAAAGACATATTGGTAATGACATTGTAGCTTTAGTCTACCAGGAGGGCCAAACCCCTTTTCTATCTGATGTAATCAAGTCTCACTTCCTGCACTGTTTCCTGGTGGTCCGGAGGGTTCAGAGGGCGGAGGAGACAGGTGAAACTGCATACCAGGTAAGTTAAAAAAAGCACCCACTGAATCTATCATCACTATCAATAAAAGTGGAGCGACAGACTTTCAAACTTAAGTGATTTTACCTTTAATACTAAAAAGCCCATTATCTAGAGGCTGACCAACACTGGATTTCCAACCCTGATACAAATCTAAATTGATCACCGCACTCTGGAATGACTTTACTGTGATCATATTAGCAGTGAACAACACATTTTGCCTGTAGCTTCTTCAGGTTCACTCAGTAAAATTACATTAACACTCACAGGTGTGAAAAATAGGCTGCATCTGGGTCAAAATTGTGTTTCACAAGTGTTTCACAATTTTTAGAAAGGTGAAAGTATAAAACACATAATGCAAAAGACAAAGCATGATTAATATAAAGACATAGCATTATTAATCTCATAGAGTCACAAGAATTAAACAATTTTTCATAATCCATTAAGAAAATTGATATCCATGTCCAGCTGACTGAATAGGATGTGCTAAATACCTTAAGACAGATATCTTATAGGTCCTACCACTTTCCCTCTACATTACTAAATGGGAAGGCTATGGGAAGAAGTGCTGCGACCTACCAGCACCTGATTGCTGCTGGTTGTGCATGTGAAGTTTCTTTTACTACTAATTTATACTTGGAGGTTTTTTAAAATCCAACAATGTAACATAAACAAGTAACCTAACAAGCATTTTATAATAAGGATATCTTTTATCAAGATATGTCCAAGTGGTACAGATGGAAAATAAACTTATCACTGCTTTTCGAGGTGGACAAACTATGCAAAGACCATCACTGGCATTTTCTTATTGCAATGTTTTTGTTACTTATTGGTAGAAATATATTTTCAGCCAGGGTGTTTTATCCTCTTCAAAGGTGTCTGTCACAGCCAGAGAGGATGTTCCTCCCTTTGGTCCAGTCCTCCCGGATCCTCCCATCTTCACAGAGGTAAGAAACAATACCAAGGTCAGAATCAGGATCAGAATCAGCATCAGAATCAGAATCAGGATCAGGATCAGGATCAGGATCAAGCCAACAAGCTCTTTCCTTTTTCCGAATACAATGTCACATCACATGGTTATTTTAGAACCTGCTGATCCCTCCCTGTCCAGCGGTTGTCCCCAATAGGCCTTTTTCACAGCAGCCTTTTTGACATGAAATAGTAGGGTAATCACAGGTGTTACCATTGACACATTGGTTCTGTTACTGTAGCAGAGCCTTTGTTTACCCAACTATTCCATGACAAAATGAGTGTTGTCAAAGCAGGAAGAGCACAGGTGTACATGATAACATAAACAATGGCTCCGTTCCATTAGCTCAGTGTCCCAGCAAGCCATGACAGCGAGTGAGCGGGCACAACACCAGATGATTATTATTAGTGTTGTTTATTCCTTCTGTGCTCTTCCCGCTGTGTCCCAAATCTATACAACAAACTAATTCTATACGATGTGTACTGCACACTATTCGCCATAATCTTATTAGCTAACAGACTTACTTACATAGTTTTATATAAACAGGAAATGATGATACAGTATCTGTGATGTCGGATGTCAATCAAACTGTATCTTTGAACTGCCAATTAAACTTTAAAAGTAGAAGTAGTTTACGTTCTTTTTAACCTGCTTATAATAGTATGGTATTGGGTCATGGTGCTAGTGTATATTGCATGTGTACTGTCACAGCAGCCTTTGCCTTGTGGTCCTGTCTGCCTTAGTTTTTGATCCTTCTTTGACTCTTTTGACTTTTGCCTGCCTTACATTGATCATGCACCCAGCCACACCTTGCTCACCTGAATCGTTACAGTACAAATCAATAACTGAGATGCTTGATAAGTCTTGGTTTCCTCTGTCCTGTCTTTCAGCGTTCCCTGCTGAGAGAATTCCTTTTGACCAAACTCATCAATGCAGAGATTTCCTGCTATAAGGCTCAACAGTTCAGCAGACTCGAGGTAGAGGAAAGAGACGTTTTTTTATTAATGCTCTTTATTACTGAAGGTCCAAGCTTGTTCTCTGACTTCTCCCTGCCACGTGTGCTCTCCTGTCTCTCCTCTCTGACGAAGCTCCGCACTCGTTCCTCACTCCTAGAGAGCTTGCAGGCTGAACTCTCCACCCGTTCCCAGTGCATGATGGGAGAACCTTCACTATCTGCGCTCCCATCTTCAGAAGGTGTACGGGGGGCATCTGAGGGGAGCGGAGGATTCATTGAAAATTTTAAGGTAAATGTTGGCCTCCCTCACCTTTTAAGATTTCAGAAACTGTCTTACTGTTTTGACTGAATTATTTTTCTTCTGACTCTATGTCATTAGAGAGCCATACGAGTGCGGAGCCACTCTTTCGAGACTCTTGGGGTACCCAGGAAAAGTGGCAGCAGTGCTTTACAGAAACCTAAGGTAAAAATTCACAATGGGTACAAATGTGTTTAAATACTTATTGAAAGGTTTGAGCTTATATTCTTTTCTTTTTAAACTTTATCAACAGACAGAGAAAGATGGAGAGAGGTAAGATTTATGAAAACAGGTGAACATTTTTTTTTTAGGATTTGAGTTAACGATAGAGATAATTATTTTCTCTGCTTTTCAGTGACAAATCTCCAGGACCTGTTCTCTCTGACAGTTTGGGGCCAGCTGAGCTCAAAGATCAAGCAAGTCCTCAAGAAGAGACATAAAAGGAAGATAGATACTCTTATAGACATTGCTAGCCTATATGGTTACTTCTTTATTATCCTGGTGGATGGCTTATATGTAAATAGATTGTACAAGTAAATAGTATTTCTGAGAATATAATTATTTAACTGTCATAGCAGTGATATTAATATAAATATTCACACTGTATTTCAGTTTAATGTTAAACATATAAAACTGCCGGGAAAGGCTGAAATGTTTGGACAGAGTTCACACTTGTGTGTTTATATTGTCAATAAAACAGTTATACTTCAATGAGGGATGTAAAGAGAGGACATGGGGAGGAGACAGAGGTGGAGAACAGCAGCAGAAATTAAATTAAAATGAGTTCAATATGCAAAAGAATGTTGATTTTTTTTTAAAGATGTGATTACTGATACCACTAAAACATGATTATAGGAAGATTATATACCTGTACAATTAACAATCCAGCTCTGCAGTTCCATAATGGCCGATACCTTCCATGCATATATAAATTATAGACATTAATGGTGAAATATGAACTGTATTAATAACATTAACAATAACTTCATTTTATTCAAGTGTCCCAGTTAGTCCTGACAGTGTGACAATTAACCAGTCAGGACCCTGAAACAGCTAAATGGAATTCAGCCACCATTTAATTGGTTATTTACACCTGTGGAACAGACAACAAATATACAAGTTCCACTAAATGAAAGAGGGACATCTGTATAAAATATAAAAGCATGTTGGTACTGGACAAGACAGAAAACAGAAAAAAGTGGCCGTTATTACCTATCTGAAGTTAGCACACAGGGCTTTATCAAACAGTTCAAACACATAAAAGGTCTCTGATGTGGAGTGAAGGAGACGAGGTTTACACAGTAACTCATTACTAGAAATAATATTAATTTCCCCAGTAACTAGTAGTGTAACTAATTAAATATTCATTTAAGATAAGATAAAATAGGATAAGATGTACCTTTATTGATCCGCCGCGTAGGAGAAATTCAAGTCAGACACAGCAGCATTGGGGAATGTAGTGCAAAGAGTACAGAGTGTACAAGAACAATAAGAATCACAAAATAAGAATATGAACAAAATATAATAGAAAATATAAAACTATAAATGAAAAATATATACACTATATGCAATATGGTGTGCAAAAAATTAACTAAACTGACTGTACATTTGCAAACTTAAAGATTAAAGATAAATAGTTTAAATAGTTTGTGCAAGACGTTTGGTTGAAGTTAAAACCAGTCTTAGTCAGCGGGTAGTGTAATAAGTAATAATAAGTAATAGTAATAAAATTACAGTTAAAGTGGAGAAAACTATTTTGGAAGATAGAAACATTCACATTACTTTGATTTTAACAAACAAAACTGGATTTTAATCGTCATAAGTCTGAATTTTGTGGAGAAGGGACACAATTATGTATTTTATGGGGAAAGTAATATAACTAGTAGTGTAACTAATACTGTTGGCAGGGCGTAAGTAGAGTAATAATATTACTTTTGCAAAGAGTAATGAGTAATACATTAAATTTTTTGAGTAAGTAGCCCAACACTGTTAATGCTAATACAGTAGGTGGCGGTAATGCGTCTTAACACCGCTAATGAATCCAGAGAAGAAGAAGTAAGACTGAGGCATAGAAGAAGAAACTAAAGGTAAATTAAAAAAAAGGCAACAATAGTTTACAAAGCTGTCAGATAAACTAGTGACCTCTAATGTATCAAATGGTAACAGCGATACGAGCTAACTCTGCTCCGATAGAAGTGATTTATATTCACGGTTTAATGGCGCACTGATATTAAACTGAAGCAGTCGTCAGGTTGTTTGAACTTTAACACACTGACAGCTCACTGAGGCTGAGTGCGAGTAAAGACACTGAGTTCTGATTTATCTACATTTCATTTAAGTGTCACTGCAAACAAACAGCTACCGACATCCAACATGACATCGAAGAAAGTGGTCGAGTTGTTCTACGACGTGGTTTCTCCGTACTCTTGGCTTGGCTTCGAGGTTTGTTTGTTTGTTTGTTTGTTTGTTTGTTGTCAGCGTCAATAACAAAGATGATAGAGACTTAAAGTTACAGATGAAGCTTTCACACGGGGTTTGTGTGTGTTTACAGGTCATGTGTCGCTACAGAAACGTGTGGAATATAGAGCTCAAACTGCGACCTGCGTTTCTGGGAGGCATCATGCAAGGATCAGGTACATAAACAGTGGTGGAAAGTAACGAAGTACTTTTACTCAAGTACTGTACCTAAGTGCAGATACTCGTACTACAGTTGAGTATTTCCAGTATTTCTGTGGATAATATTTTTACTCCACTACATTTTATAAGTTACTAGTTCCTTTTTGTAGATTCAGATTAATAATACAAAATATAATCAATATATAAAATCTATTATATTAAAAAAGCTTAAGATAAAAAAAGATAAAATAAGGGGGTAAATTCACAAGATAGCATTATATAAGCCCCACCTTTACTAGCTGCAACACTTAAGTGATATACACGTTAATGCAATAGTAGTTATAGTCCAATAATATAATATATATTATTCTTGAATTAGCTGTTGTGCATAATGAGTGCTTTAAATATATTTTTATGTTAATACTTTTGTATGTAGAGTATTTCTTCACTGTGGTGTTGCTACTTTTACTTAAGTAAATTATCCGATTACTTCTTCCACTGCTGTAAATATGTATTAGGCACCTCTAAACTATTGGATTGAACTATTGATGCTGTTTAATATAATATAATATATATCTTTCACCACAGGCAACAAGCCCCCCGGTCTGGTTCCAAACAAATTCCTGTACATGACCGAGGACCTGAAGCGTTTAGCGGGGTATTTTGCTGTTCCCTTGCAGAGTCCATCTGACCCCTTCGAAGCCATGTTCAAGAAAGGTATACACAGCATTAGTCGTGTATGTGTATTGATTAAACCACGGCTGTTTTGGGGGCTGGGACTCCTATTCTCCCCCTCTGTTTGTTGTGTAGGAAATTTTAAAAGGCCTTTGTCACTCTTCTGTCTCACTGTTCTTACATTTTATAGACAAAATGATTATTCGAGAAGAAACACATTAATCAATAATGAGAACAAGTTGTAGTTGCAACCCTGATCTTGACATAGGCCAGCTATATAAGGCAGGGCCTCAAGAAACAGGACCCACCTTGAAGCAACATTAACTGATTTATTTAGTTAACTGGTGGAAGTGGAACAAGCTGTAATAGCAGTTGGTACTATTTTTTTTTTATTGAGCAATTAAAGCATTAATAATTCAGTGATTTTCAGGTATTCTTCTGTGTTTTTTCTCCCAGGCTCCTTGTCTGCAATGAGATTTGTGGCAGCAGTACAAGAGAGGGAGAAGGGTGGAGACAAGCAGGTGGAGCAGGTATCTCGGGAGCTGTGGAGAAGGATCTGGTGTGAGGACAAAGACATCACGGAACCTGCATCGTTGTCTGAGGTACCACCTTATTCAGTCGGGTTGTGTTTGAGAAGATTAAAACGGACCATTTCGTTTTGTCAGTGTCTATTTTTTTTTTTTTTTTGTAGGCAGCAATGAAAGCAGGACTGTCTGAGAGCGAGATTAAAGAAGCGCTGAAGCTGTCCACCTCAAAGGAGGTCAAAGACAAGCTGAAAAGCACAACACAGGATGCACTTGAGTATGGGGTCAGTTGTCCTTCAGTTCTCCTTGAAGCTTCAGGTAGGAAAGACAAAGCCATTACACTGTAATGAACAAAATCTCTCCTGCTGCCTCTTCCCAGGCGTTTGGCTTCCCCCTGCTGGTGTGTCATGTAAATGGAAAACCAGAGATGTTTTTTGGATCTGACAGATTTGAGCTCATGGCCCACTGCGTTGGTGAGTAAAACTATAGTGCATCATTCACAAACACACAATGTTAAAGTGATCATTTAAAGATTAAAGATTAACCTACTGCACACCCTATTTAAAATGCAAATACACTGTTATTGACACAATGGAGACAGTTTCTATTTTGAGACTGGGCAAATGTTTGACAACCATATAAACTGTGTTGCAGCTTTTATCTTTTGTTTATATGATTTGTGAAGTTCAGCATCTGTTTAGCAATTCAATCGGAAGCTGTCTTGAGATTCCTGCCCAATCTCATTTTGTTCTGTTTCAGGAGAGAAGTGGCTGGGACCTCAGCCTGGCAAATCAGCTGCCAAACTGTGAGCTGCCTTCAGACACTGTTGATATGCTCACATGCTTTTGAATTAGCATCCCATTTTGGTGATTTTCTCTAATTCTTCAAATGTTATATTTTTTGTGCTGTGCCCTCTGAAACCTAGGAGTCCAATAAACCTTAATAACAAATAGTGGTGTAAATAATGTAACATAAATTGTAATAATAATTATGTGCCTATTAAAAGCAACATTGACAACTTAAGCTCGTTATCTTTTCTATTGAAATACAAAGACATGAAAATGATCTCATTGTTGTATTGTAATGTTATGTTTTTAGCCATGCTAGTGGTCTGGCTCTATGGATGGTGGGACGGTCTGTTTATCACTTTTACTCCAGACTGAAATGTCTCAAAAACTACAACATTCAGTTACATTCATGGTCGCAGTATGATGAGTCTTAATGATTTCGGTGATCCCATCACTCTTCCTCTCTAGGGCCTCTTTGAGGTCACATTGCAAAAACTAGATTTTCTATTCACAATTATTTTGTCATTGTTAGGTTAAGCAATTATTTGTGAATCATTGAACTGAATACATTAATATTACTTTGATATTAAATCCATATTTCGCACAGTGGTTACCTCGCAGTAAGAAGGTCCTTTTAGAGTTTAAACATATTTGAGGCAGATGTCTTTCTGTGTGGGTTTCATCCGACAGTCCAAATACATGCAGGTCGGATGAATTAGAAACTAAATGGCCCATAGCTATAAATGTTAGTGGTTATGTGGTTGTCTTCTTGTGTTTGCTTTGTGGTAGACTGTCCAGGGTGTAACCCTCCTCTTTCCCAATGTGAGCTGGGATACACTCCACCCCCTAGAAACACTAAACAGGATGTGGGTATAGATAATGGATGGTTGGATAAAACCCTTGTTATGATATCAATTTGAAAACACTTAAATGTTTTAATTTCAGCAAACAGTGCATTGTACTTCGGTGCAAGTTTGAGGTGATTTCAGAGGGAAATATTATACATTTTATTTCACTAAATTAGTTTGACACCTACAATTATACTGGTTTATTTTTTTTGAAGTTGTTTTTATGGCCTTTTATTGCCTCTTTTGATAGTGACAGCTGAAGATAGACAGGAAAGGGGGGCAGCGAGAGAGGGGATGACACACAGCAAAAGGCCGCAGGTCGCATTCGAACCCAGGCCACTGCAGCAACTCCGTACATGGGTCGCCAGCTCTACCGACTGACCTAACCAGGCGCCTGGTTTGCAGCAAAACTTTGTTTTTCTTCTTTCCTGATCCCTGAGCTCCACCTCAACCATCTGCATCAGTAAAATATTACTTATGTATTAATGCATCAGTATTAACAACAAATAATTTAATAAATAATTAAATTATCAAATAAGAAATATCAAAAGTACTCAGTTTTGAAGTACATTTTACTGATTAATGTATGTACTTTTACTTCAGTAGAATTTTTAATGCAGGACTTTTATTTGTATTTAAGTAATTTTACATTGTTGTATTGGTACTTTTGTTTAAGTAAAGGTTTGATGACTTCTTCCACCACTGTAATTATGTATTATCTCAACTGACAGTATATTATTTATATTTTTTTTAAAGAAATAGGATTATTTTTCTATGTTTAATGCCTGTACCTGGAAAGAAATTCAGTTTATTATTGCTGAGTAAATACTCCAGAGACTGCAAAGCTTGTCATTCGAGTTCCAGTGGAATGAAGGCCAAACAACAAAAGGACTAAAAATGACAAGGAGCGGCAGGACCAGTTTCCCTAGACAAAGAGGAGAAGGCACGGCCAGAGGTAGCTGACATATGTCGACTTCAGAAACTAAATGCAGAATGTGGTAGAGCAAACTCAAAGAGAGGCAGAGTGAGACCGGATTGCCGTAAACCTGATATCAGTGCAATGCATCACATCTTAATTGGAGAAGGAGACAAACAGGAAGGAGGAAGAAGGAAGAGGTAAATAAGAGAGAAGAAGGATGAGGTGTAGGTGAGGAGGGTGGAGTTAAGAAAATACTGAAGGTGGACAAACAGAGAGCAGCACATTGATCCCCTGAGCCTGACAAATCACCAGAGAAAAACAAAGACAATGAAGATCTGAGCAGCAAGGCTGAACCCGGACTCCACATTCAGCTGGAAGGATGTGAAAAGTGCCTGACTGTGTGAAGGTGGGAAACATGAGCCTGAAATAACAGGATCAAACATTTTCTTTGGGATATAGGACACAAACTGAAGGGAGCTGAGGTAAAGATTTTAAACACTAAATCTGTTTTCTATCACACTGTTATATTTTGTTAATATAGCTCTGAGGTAGAGAGAGATGAGGTTAATGCATGATGTTAATTTAATTATCAACATGACACCGAATCTGGTGCTGTTTTTTCCATTTATGTTTGCCCTTTGGGTGTGTAGTTACACTAGCATTTATGCTTCTAAAAATCTAGACCAACAGGTTTAGAGATCTTGGATGTGACGTAAAAGGATTATAATATGGGTGAAGAGCTTTCCTATGTGGCTGCAGTGACTTCTAGTGAGTTCTATTCCTATTATACACTGCATTTAAAGCAACTTTAAATTCAGATATTCCTAAATTAGAGATGATCTTTGGTGAAGGGTGTATCTTATGTCTTAAACTAGCTAATATAATTACATCACCTTAAAATTGAGCATTTAAAAGGTCTGTGTAAGTCCTAAATGATAATGTTGTGTTATAGTGAGGTGTCAGAGTTATTACTGATAGTTTGGCATACCTCAGAGACAGTGATACAACATCTGAAGTTCCTGGTCTCGCTTACACGTTTCTCAGACACCTTCTCGTACTGGATACCTTGTAAAGAGTCGTGTTACTATTCACAGATTCAGCCCGAGATTAGATGCGTTTCAGGGGACTAACACTGTCACTTTATCTGTTGTTTTTATTCTCTACATCTACTTGTGTATCCACAACAAACACTTACATGGTTTTTGTAGTCCAACTGAAGGTTAGACTGTGTGAAGAGTGTGTGAGGATCTTTGCAACATTTCTTTAATCTCATCTCTTTTCACATGCGACAGGATGTCTTCATTATCAGAAGCAGACTTCCGCTGCAACCACGGAGATACAATTTGTGGTAAGTTTTACTTTGACCTCTAACTTGGCCTGGTCCATTGGAGGCCTTGAGGTTAAATGTTCACTTAAGTTGACAGATGAACAGACAGCATAGACAAACAGTGTCTGCCACTTTAAGATCACTGTCTCTCAGACTCGCTGAGTGATTGTAAGTATTGTGTCTGTTCCTGTTTGCAGAGATCCGTGTGTATGAGCAGGAGGTGATCGTTGTGCCCATCTTGCTGCTGTCCAGCTTCTTGGTCACTCTTGTCTTCATTATCCTGCTACGCTATTGTCCGGAGAGAGTTGATCGCATCCGTCCACAGGCCACAAAGGCGCCCACCAGGAGAGTGCTGCATGGGATTGATGGTAGGAAACTGGAATAGACACAAGTTTAATTCAAATGAATGAAGTCATATCACAGAAATTAAATTGGATCTACACAACAGTCAGGAAGCTGTTTCTATATGTATATTTATTGTATTTTGCTTTCTCTTAGAGGTGTGCTTAAGATTCTAGGTTTATTTTGCTTAATTTAATGTGTATTCATTGTTTTCTTTGTTTAGCACCTTTTACTTATAAGTCAGATTTATCATGTTGTCAATTTATCAAATCATAAAGCTGCCCAGAACCTAAAGTTCAAGAAAAATGCCACAGGCGCCTATAAAGGCGGACAAATCTGTAGTGGTGATCAGTCAAAATACTATCATAGAACAATTCAAGAACAAAATGCAGCAGAGGAAAGTAAGAAATGGAACTATATTACAGTCATATTTTGTTTGCCATGTATGTTTGCTTGTAAATTACTGACAATATTGATAATTCAAAGTTATAAAACTTTATTCCAATAAAATATTTATGATCTACAGACAAAAGATACTTACATAATATTATGTGTGACTACCCATGTCAGCACTTTCACCTGGATTTCTCAGTTATGTTACTATAAATAAAACATGCTCACTGTATTCAGTTTAGACAGACTCCAGAGGGTTAAATAGGAGCAGTTGACTGAAACCAGTCCAACAACCTTTTACACAATTCTCTGTACTAGATATTTATGTCTAACATTTGTACAGTGTTTACTATTACATTCAGAATGTTACACAAATGACACTGGATTCACTTTACGATTTATCCATACTCTTTTAATCAGTGTTTTACTTAGTGTTTATTTATGAATTATGAATTCAAGGAAAATGGTGCTGGGAGTAGGGGTGTTGAGGGGGCTGCAGCACCCCCT